CGAGGTCCCTCGTCTGGATGGTTAGGGCCCTGAGTCTGAAGGTACAGACAGGGATAGATATAGGTTGAAAAGGAAGACATATTTTGCTGATGATCAGAACAAGAGAGGGTGTTTTTAGTTCATTTCTTCGACTGAAGACTCTCGTGTGGATGGTTAGGGCCCTGAAGCTAAAAGTACAGGCAGGAATAGATACAGGTTGAAAAGGAAGACGTATTTTGCTGATGATCAGAACAAGAGAGGGTGCTTTAGTTAATTTCTTCGACCAAGAATCCTCGTGTAGATGGTTAGGGTCCCGGGGTTGAAGGTACAGACAGGAATAGATACAGCTTGAAAAGGAAGACATATCTTGCTGATGATCAGAACAAGTGAAGGTGTTTTTAGTTCCTTTCTTTATTTCTGATAGACACTCATCGTTAGAATTGCCTCAGAAGAGCTTCGTCGTTGAGGTTTCTCGTCAGCTGGTTCAGGAGCTGTTTTTCAACTTCGATCTTGAAATCATCAGTTATGGAATATAATTCAGGAAGGTCGATTGGTTCCAACGCGTGAACGAGCCGGCAGACAACCGACAGACAGGTCCTATTTGGTCTCATGTCGAGGATTCGCAATTGTCAATTAAAGGCTCTCGTGGTGCTCGTTGCACTCTGGGGTCGCTAGGGACCCCAGACACAACGTGTTAATACGAGAGGGTACTAATTATCGAGTTTGACTTTCACTCGATGAAAGCGGGAGGCAGACGGTGAAATAACTGTCGTCCATTGTGCTAAATTAATACATTTCGATATAATCACTGATAAGGTAGGGCCGAAGGTCTCTATTTAACCTTCCGCGTGTCTGGGCATCAGGAGCGTGATATCATTATAATCTTCATAATCATTAAGATGATATGAAAGGGTCATTTCACGTATTGTGTGACATGAATTAACCAGATGCCAGATTACTAGATACAAATTGACTTGGAATTGACGAACGGTGCTATCAGGCATTTCAGTCGACTTTTTGATGCTTTTGGATGGTTATTGCTTTTGGATGTACTTAGTAACTTTCCAGCTTGTCCAACTTTCCCAACGCTTTCTAACTTTACAACGTAAGTTTGGACATCCGAGCTTTTCTTAATACTAAAACGACCGGTAGATCTTTTTGTATCTATTTGAAGCAAGTTATTTTGGCAGTTCTAGTGTTGAGATTGATATTTCTGCCGTAGAATCAATTTCTACATTTTTATTATCATTCGCTCTAATATTTAGAAAATGTTGCATGTGTCGGAAGTTACTACCAAAGAACCAAAGATATGGTTTGTAGCTCGAAATAGTGGTTTCGAATTCGAAATGAGGAAAATGGAGCAGTTCTAGGTTGCGACTCTCCAAGTGTAACTGATTTTCAATTACCTGATACAAATTGTTGCAGAAATAAATTGTCTTGGAATCGACGAACAGTATTGTCGGGCATTTAATTCGGCTTCTAGCTTGCTAATTTCTAGCTCGAAATAGTTGTTTGGAATTCGAAATGAGGAAAATGGAGCAGTTCTAGGTTGCGACTCTCCAAGTGTAACTGATTTTCAATTACCTGATACAAACTGTTGCACAAACAAATTGTCTTGGAATCGACGAACAGTATTGTCGGGCATTTAATTTGGCTTTTGGATGTACTTACTCCCTTTCCAATTTTTCCAAAGTAAATTTGGAAATCGGAGCTTTTCTTAAGAGCGATATCTCTGCCATAGAAACAATTGCTACATTTTTATTATCATCCACTATACTATTTGGAAAATGTTGCATATGTCGAAAGTTCCTCCTAAAGAACCAAAGATATGGTTTATACCTCGAAATAGTAGTTTGGATGTACTTACTCCCTTTCCAATTTTTCCAAAGTAGATTTAGAAATCGGAGCTTCTCTTAAGAGTGATATCTCTGCCATAGAAACTATTGCTACATTTTTATCATCATCCACTATACCATTTGGAAAATGTGACATGTGTCGATATCGATATCTCTGCCATAGAAACTATTGTTATATTTTTATCATCATCCACTATACCATTTGGAAAATGTGGCATGTGTCGGAAGTTCCTACCAAAGAACGAAAGATATGGTTTGTAGCTCGAAATAGTAGTTTGGATGTACTTACTCCCTTTCCAATTTTTCCAAAGTAGATTTAGAAATCGGAGCTTCTCTTAAGAGTGATATCTCTGCCATAGAAACTATTGTTACATTTTTATCATCATCCACTATACCATTTGGAAAATGTGGCATGTGTCGATATCGATATCTCTACCATAGGAACTATTGCTACATTTTTATTACCATTAACTATACTATTTGGAAAATGTTGCATATGTCGAAAGTTCCTCCTAAAGAACCAAAGATATGGTTTGTAGCTCGAAATAGTAGTTTCGAATTCGAAATAAGGAAAATGGAGCTTTTCTACTTTGCGACGCTCCAAGTGTAACTAGACACAAACAAATTGTTTTGGAATTAACGAACAGTATTGTCGGGAATTTCATTGGACTTGTGGAAGTACTTACTCCCTTTCCAACTCCTACCTGTTATTTCGACCGAAATTGTCGAAATTCTGGAAATTCTGAACAAAAGGGCTCTCATGGAGCTCGTTCTTACTTAGGAGTCACTGGAGGCCCCTAACCTCTACCGCTTCTACACCTTCTCTCTTACTTGCTTTGCATTTATAGTAAGTTCTCAACTTACATGAAGTCCCAGATAGATGGAAAATTCCTAGTTCTCTTTAACATATAAATGAATTAGTTTACATATTATTATAGAACGTAGTTTTCTTTAACACAATTTTTTTACGTAGGCTGAGCGACTATCGGATTTTATTCCCGGTAAAACGGATTGAGAACTGCAGTTCTCAAATGGTAGCCATCAATTATACATATACGTATAGTGATTTGTGATTTTGTAGCAATATTTTTTTTTTTTTTTTTACGTAAGTTGAGCAACTATCGGGTTTTATTTCCGCTAAAACGGATTGGGAACTGCAGTTTTGACATAGTAGCCATCAATTATACATATACGTATAGTGATTTGTGATTTTGTAGCAATATTTTTTTTTTGTTTTACGTAGGTTGAGCAACTATCGGGTTTTATTTCCGATAAAACGGATTGGGAACTGCAGTTTTGACATAGTAGCCATCAATGACACATATACGTATAGTGATTTGTGAATGTGTAGCAATATTTTTCTTTACGCAGGTTCAACAACTATCGGGTTTTATTTCCGATAAAATGGATTAGGTACTGTAGTTCTGAAATGGTAGCCATAAATTACGTATATACGTATAGTGATTTGTGATTTTGTAGCAATATTTTTTTTTGTTTTACGTAGGTTGAGCAACTATCGGGTTTTATTTCCGCTAAAACACTAAATCTGAAATCCATCCATTATCCAAACCTCCCGGTAAAACTAAAACCCATATACGTATAGTGATTTGTGACCATCAGTGTGCGGATTTAGATTCACTATTCCTGATCAAGGTGCCTAAAATACGGCCGAGGGTAGATAGCGAGGTCTATCTAGTAGCGGGAAAAGTAATGTCGAGTTTTACGTACGTTTCGACCGGAAAATAGGACAGTACTTTCCCGGTCTAATATTTGCGAGAGCACATTTATGCACTTGAAATACTCCACCTGTAATTTTGCGGCACCGTATATGTGTTTTTCGGCGAGAACTCGCGCCCGTTAGCTTGTTAACTTAATTACGGCTCAACGGAGACACTTCATATTTAACGTGGTTATTGCAGCTCGGTATGAGAGGAATCGCGGAAATTATGCACCGTATATGTAATAAGAATTTTAATTCGACCACGAATTCCCTTCCTCCATTTTCGGAGAAGCCCCCGTGGAAATGAATAAAACTGAACTCGTGCATTCATAAAAAAATACAAGATTAATTTACAACTTCAACTCGTCCTGCAAAGGGAATTATTTAATGCTGAAAGCCACTCTTTTTTACATTTATGCAGAAAGTTGCTCTCGGTACTGTTCAAAGGGTTGTCCACTTGGAAATCGGGGAGAACGATTTTCCTTCTCTGAGAACCCATTGCCTTTCATTTCATATGATAAACAATATTCCGATTCGGTAACAAGTGATATTCGGAGTTGTCATGTTAACAATTTTTCCGTCATAAACAACGATTTCCGGTAATTTTCTCTTGCGATTGACCTCTTCATTTACCCTAATTTTTGACATACCAATTATAGCGTGTGCCATTTTACCGTCAATTTTTTGCATTTTGTACTAATTATAAGCAAAATGGGTGTGGATGAATAGTACTTTACTAATTATCAGTAGTACTAGACTTTACTAATTGTTAGTAGTACTATACTTTATTAATTGTCAGTGGCACTAGACTTTACTAATAGTAGTACTTTATTAATTGTCATTAGTGAGACTTAATTGCATTCTTCATTTACCCTAATTTTTTACATACCAATTGTAGCGTGTGCCATTTTACCGTCAATTTTTTGCATTTTATGCTAATTATCACCAAAAAGGGTGCAAATGAATACTACTTTACTAATTGTTAATGGTACTAGACTTTACTAATTGTCATTAGGGAGACTTAATTGCACAATCCAGAAGAATCACTCAATTCTAGATCTTACTTAGCCAAGTGTCGTGGCTGAAGCTGAACTTCATTTACTCTAATTTCTATCCTCCCAATTGAAGTGTATTCCATTTTACCGTCAATTTTTAGCATTTATGCTAATTATCACGAAAAAGGGTGCAAATGAATACTACTTTACTAATTGTTAATGGTACTAGACTATTAATTCTCATTAGGGAGACTTAATTGCACAATGCAGAAGCATCACTCTAGATGTTACACAGCCAAGTGTCATGGCTAAAGCTGAACTTCATTTACCCTAATTTCTATCCTCCCAATTGAAGTGTGTTCCATTTTACCGTCAATTTTTTGCATTTTATGCCATTGTGATAAATTCTCGTGTAGGACTTATGTGTGGTTCGACATTTTGTTTTTTCAGGAAACGCTCTGGAATTACTCAGACTGGATGTGCCAAGCATAGCAGACCCAAGATCCGAAAAAGTGGTCCTTCGTTGTGAATATGACCTCGGTGGAGAGGAACTATACTCCGTCAAGTGGTATAAGGATGGCATGGAGTTCTTCAGGTACATGCCGAGTTATGTACCATACGGCCGAGACTTCCCAGTTGATGGTGTCATTGTTGATACAAAACGAAGTGACAGCAGACAAGTTACGCTCTTGGGACAGTCAAGTGCTCCGGAAGGTAAGGCAATATCAGAATGTACCTAGACATGCTCCCCTTTTCGTTGGAAATTCTAGTCATCATTTATATCGAGTCTTTTCATTGATGGAGGAATACATCTTCCGGAGATTAGTTTCATGAGTTGTTCTGCCGAATAGTGGATTAACTATTAGCCCTTTGCGTGTTAACGTAGACCTAGACATGATATGCCTAGCCTAGACCTAGACCTAGACCTAGACCTAGACCTAGACATGACATGACATGACATGACATGACATGACTAGCCTAGACCTAGACATGACATGACTACCCTAGACGTAGATCTAGACATGATATGACTAGCCTAGACCTAGACCTAGACCTAGACATGACTAGCCTAGACCTAGACCTAGACCTAGACATGACATGACTAGCCTAGACCTAGACTTAAACCTAGACCTAGACCTAGACTTAGACCTAGACCTAGACCTAGACCTAGACATGACTAGCCTAGACCTAGACATGACTAACCTAGACCTAGACATGACATGACTAGCCTAGACCTAGACCTAGACAAGAAACCTAGACATGCTGCTCCCCTTTTCTTTGCAAATTCTCGTCATAATTTATATCCAGGCTTTTCATTGACAGAGGAATACTTCTTCCGGAGATTAGTTCCATGAGTTTTCTGTCGGTCTGTCCTTAATAACTTGGAGATATTAGTTTAAATAATTGGAGCCTAAAAAATGGAGTAAGCCTACCTAGAATTAGATTTCTGAAACACTTATGTGGTGATGAACGTCCATAAGATGAAGTGAAACCCCCTCAAATCATAAGGGACTTTCGTTCGATCAGACCATAAAAATCATGGATTGAAACGTTTTCTTGAATTTCCTCCCATCTCTTTCCAACTATTCTACAGAGACAACATATGAAGTATGCCACTCCGTACGATGTTCAAATCAGAACAATTCGAACGTTAATATAAGTGTAAGCGCCGGTAACGTAGCGTCGTAATTTGTTTGTTACCAGCCATGATGAAATCTCTGAAAGAACGTCTTACTAGATGGAAATTAACATTCAGTTGGGCATTTCTTTGTTTCAGGGAAAATCAACCTTGCGGGATCGTACGGATGCGAAGTTTCATCCGAAGGTCCTAGTTTTTTGACCACATACAAGGAGGCCAATATGAGTGTGGGCGTGCTTCCAAAACGGGCGCCAGTTCTGGAAGGCCTCAGACCGAATTACCAGGTCGGCGAGTACCTTGCAGCCGAGTGCACTTCTGCCCCGAGTCATCCACCAGCTAAACTCGCTTTTTTCCTCAACGATAAAGAGGTAAAGTTCTGTTGTTTAACGCTGACTGTAATCCGAAACCACAATGTCTTAAGGGGATGTGAAAGTGGCTTTCTAGGGGTCCATCGTTCATGAAATTTGTCTCGATACTGAGGGTATCAAATTGTTAAGATCATCTTCCCAATTCGCTGAGTCCCTCATGTAGGAAATCATTTCTGCAATGACCTCCCTAAGTTAAAACGGAATTGTCCACCCTTAGCAGGAGCATCATCACTTTTCTGGTGGAACATCCGAATCTGAATTGTTCAATCCTTAACAGGGTCCTTTAAAATCAGGTCACTTATAGGAATTAGTGGTTTCGCATGAATGGTAATATGAGGTTCTCATCGCCACACTCAGATCAGCAGCAAGATAGGAGCTAACCAATATTAATTATAAAACAGGACGCAAGGCCCAGCTAATTGGATCATTTGGGCAACACAACACCATCTTGCAGCTGTCTTACTATAAACAATTTTCAGGATACAGTCTTAGCGAATTCATTTAAAGAATTGATTTAATCTGTGTCGCAGGTGAGCAAAGCCCAGATAAAGGTTCTGCCAACCCTGGGCCTGGAAGACAAGATCGTCGCGTCAAGTCGGCTCTTCTTCTCTATTTGTCTGGAGCATCATCTCTTTCCCGATGGAACATTCGAATCTGAATTGTCATTCAATCCCTAACATCATTAAAAATCAAGTCACTTATTGGAATTACCAGTTACTTTTTAACTCGAATATGAGCTTTTTATCGCCACACTTAGAGCAGCATCAAGACAGGAGATAACCAAACAGGACACACATCCCAGCTAATTGGATCATTGTGCAACACAACACCATCTTGCAGCCACCTTACTATAAACAATTTTCACAATACAGTTTTAGCGAATTCATTTAAAGAATTGTCTTAAACTCTGTCGCAGGTGAGCAAAGCCTGGGCCTGGAAGACAAGATCGTCGCGTCAAGTCGGCTCTTCTTCTCTATTTGTCTGGAGCATCATCACTTTCTCGGTGGAACATTTGAATTTGAATTGTCATTCAATCCCTAACATCTTTAAGAATCAAGTCATCTATAAAAATTCCGAACTTCTAATAACTTGAATATGAGCTTTTCATTGCCACACTTAGAACAGCATCAAGACAGGAGATAACCAAACAGAACACACATCCCAGCTAATTGGATCATCGTGCAACACAACACCACCTTGCAGCCACCTTACTATAAACAATTTTCACAATACAGTTTTAGCGAATTCATTTAAAGAATTGTCTTAAACTCTGTCGCAGGTGAGCAAAGCCCAGATAAAGGTTCTACCAACCCTGGGCCTGGAAAACAAGATCGTCGCGTCAAGTCGGCTCTTATTCTCTATTTGTCTGGAGCATCATTTCTTTCCCGGTGGAACATTCGAATCTAAATAGGAATCCCTAGTTCCGCATGAATAACAATGTGAGGTTTTCATCGCCACACTTAGAGCAGCATCAAGATAGGAGATAACCAAACAGAACACACATCCCAGCTAATTGGATCATCGTGCAACACAACACCACCTTGCAGCCACCTTACTATAAACAATTTTCACAATACAGTTTTAGCGAATTCATTTAAAGAATTGTCTTAAACTCTGTCGCAGGTGAGCAAAGCCCAGATAAAGGTCCTGCCAACCCTGGGCCTGGAAGACAAGATCGTCGCGTCAAGTCGGTTGGGATTCTCCATCCGTCTGGAGCGTCATCACTTTCCTGGTGGGACTTTGAGTCTGATATGTCGATCAACCCTGCCTGGAATCAGTGTCGCCAAGCCCCTAGAAACAGAAGTGACGGCCACTCTGGCAGCAAGCAATCAAAGGCTTGCCCAGGAACCGCCCAGGTCGGCGGGCCCAACAACCTGGGGATCCTTCTCCTGGACTCTGGCAGGCCTTGCGTTTCTTTCCGTGCACCTGATTCACGTGTAAATGTAATTCACGGACGATTGTATCATGCACACTTTACACCTTAACTGGCACTGTAAACCTTGAGATGATTTCCTTGTAATGTTCCGTTCGCTCCTCGCTGATGATGATGTCGCTGAACGACGGAAGTGGACACATCACGTTCCCAGGGAACTTAACAAATGATCATGCGATCGGCTCACATAGAACCGTTGAGTCTACAATTACCCGATAATTTGCAGGAGAAATTTTACTGTGATTAAGGTGAAGTGAAACACGTCACGGAACTTGATCGACGTCGGTGAAACGGATTCTTCTAAATACCTACGCTGCCGACTTTGGTTTTTATATTAATAACACATCACGTTCCCAGAGAACTTAACAAATGATCATGCGATCGGCTCACATAGAACAGTTGAATCTACAATTATGCGATAATTTGCAGGAGAAATTTTACTGTGATTAAGGTGAAGTGAAACACGTCACGGAACTTGATCGACGTCGGTGAAACGGATTCTTCTAGATACCTACGCTGCCGACGTTGGTTTTTATATTAATAAATGTGTCGAGTTATATTGGGGATTGTACTAAATGGCATCCCCCATCTGTCGTAATCATATAATAATTACAAAGAAATCGAAATAAAACTCCAGAAATCCTCTGGATTCATCTCCTCTGGAACCATGAAGTTTCTGAGGCCCTAATTGACTGCGGAGTGACTCCTCGCGCCATCTGTGATTTCCAAGTGAATTAAATTCTCACTCCTAGACCTCATATCCATCGTTTTAGCGTTAGAAGCGCATAAGACACCTTTTTTTTTGCCTTTACCCTGTTCAAATGTGAGTTTCTCGATCATCACAGTGCTCTAAATTGTAAAATTGTCCTGACGGTTTTGTTTCTCACATCAGAGGCTTCAATAATTGGATGTTCATCGAAATATGAGAGCTCGACGACATTTTGGTTCTGGCCTTGGTTAGAAAAAAACAATGTTTTAAAAAATACAAATTTTGAATGTGTCAGGACAGTTCCTAGATGATCACCAGTCACGTGTAAAAGTTTCGAATAGTTTGTTCCAATACCCTTAAAAAAAAGTGTTTTATTCGAATTGGGTGATTTCAGGAGCGGTTTCGCTTCACCTTAAGGTAAAGTCAGTCGATTCCAATACAATACCTTTTCTTTAACGGTATTAGATCAAACTGTCCGAAACTTTGACACATCACTCCTGATCATCTAAGAATTGTCCTGACACATTGAAAATTTGGATTTTTTGAAAAAATCGTTTAACTTAGACGGACCAGAACCAAAATGGCGTCGAGCTCTCATATTTCGATCGATATACAATTATCGAAGGCTCTGATATGAGAATCGAAAGGGTCAGGACAATTTTACGATAATTTAGAACACTCTGGTAATCGATAAATTCGCATTTGAATGGAATAAAGGCAAAAAAAGTGTTGTATGCGCTTCTATGCTAAAATGATGGGAATACGAGGTCTCGGAGTAAAAATTTAATTGACCTGGAAATCACAGATGGCGCAGGGGGTCCCTCTGCAGTCAATTAGAGCTGCAGAAAGCATGATTCCAGAGGATTTCTGGAGTTTTACTTGGATTTCTTGATATTTATTGTACGAAAACGACAGGTGGAGTATGCCATTTGGTACAATATCCAATATAATTCGACGCAGCTGTCAATATAAAAACGAACGCCGGCAACGGAGGCATTTAGAAAAGCCTTCTTTATCGACGTCGATCAAGTTCCTCGACGCGTTTCACTTCACCTTAAAATTTTCAACTTGTTTTCAACGATTTGTACGCTGACTCTGCTGAAGGGAGCAGATAATTGCTACAGTTCATGAAACTGCTGGGGTATTGCAATTTCAGCTTTCAATTAATACTTGCCAGAGAATTCGACAATGAAAATAGTTTATTCTGTACGTGTTTAGGTTATAAGAAATGCAGGGTTTAATCGAGGGCTTGAAAGAATGAACTTCCTCTTTGAGGTCGGGCTAATTTGCATAGTTCAGGTTTAATCTCCAGCACGAGAGTCTCAGAAGTTTGGAAAGTTATGCATCCACGTTAGGTAAAGTTCAAACTGTATATTATTCGCCCCGCATATATTAATTTTCAATCCTTTCGCAGATTGAGTTTATTCTATTATGTAAGGTGAAGTGAAACACGTCGAGGAACTTGATCGACGTCGATAAAGAAGATTTTTATAAATGCCTACGTTGTCGACGTTGGTTTTTATATCGACAGCTGGGTCGAATTATATTGGGTATTGTACCAAATTGCATACTCCACCTGTCTTTTTCCTACAATAAATATCAAGAAATCGAAGTAAAACTCCGGAAATCCTCTGGATTCGTGTTTTCTGAGGCCCTAATTGACTGCAAAAGGACACCCTGCGCCATCTGTGATTTCCAGGTGAATTAAATTTTCACTCCGAGACCTCGTATTCCCATTGTTTTGGCTTAGAAGCGCACACAACACTTTTTTTGCCTTTATCCCATTCAAATTCGAGTTTGTCGATTACCAGAGTGTTCTAAATTGTCGTAAAATTGTCCCGACCCTTTCGATTCTC